CAAGTTCGGAAATGACTTTACTACAAAGTCGGAAACTATTTCTGCAAATTTTAACTTTGCCAAAAAAAAGCTTTTATAGTTTCAGAGTAGAAACATGAAGAGCGAGGCCGAAAAAGAGAGAGATACAAAGAGACATAGTTTTGTTTCAATAATCTTTTGCATCCTGTCGCAGCACAAAAGCGCATCTCTAAAAACACGCAAAATTCAGCGAATGCGCAAAATTTAGGAGCTCACATGTGCAATATTGCGTTAAAAATGACGTTATTGAATCCAGAAAAGCCGGATATTGCAAATTAAAGTAAATAGCAAGTAGTACTAGCAAAAGACACCATCCTTCAGTGAAAGGGAGATGTGTTCCTCATTTTTTGAAAGATCGTTTCACCACGGTCCTTCTATGCAACGATGTGGGTTGCATACGAAAATTTTGAAAAAATCCTAAGAAATGAAGGCTGTAAAAAACAGACCCCGGAAATACGTGTCCAGAAAGCACTATCACAGTTGGCGTCAAATCAAAAAATATTGTACCTGGATAGTGGCTACAGGAGGATGCAAGAAAATTGACAAGTTCACAGAGTGACTGCAAATCAGCGAAATTCAAGCATGTCTGCAGTTTCAGCAGCTGCACCGTCTTTATGTAGTAGTCGAACTGACCGAGAAACTCATCTCTGTACGATTCTGGATCTTTGCTTATCTAAAAATGATTTATTCAACCGGCTAGAGACCTGCTGACGAAGCTCTCTTATGGAACTAAATGCTGCAACGCGCGCCCCTCAGAGAAATAGTACATCGCTACTGCCAGTGCTACGAAAAAATATATCTGATGGGGTTGAAAGGGCAGAAATAAAGTATCAAAACTGCCACAACCCTGCTAAATCACTTTCGATACACACACACACACACACACACACACATACTTGCACCCCATACAGCACAAGTCATTCGAGCTATTCCTGTACCTGGCATTTTCTCAAAGATTATCAACATTCATCACGAAGTGGCAAAGAAACAATCAGCCAGAACTCCTAACAAACAGAGGCGGTTAAAAGAGGCAGGAGAAAAATGTGTCGCGAATCAGCGAATTCTCGCCAGGCAATTTTTTTGCTGGAACAATTAAATCACACGCCGTTCCTGTTTTCCATTCCATTACCATCTCAAATCTGCTGGCATTGCTAGGGAGAGAGAGAGGGGAAAAAGCCTAGCAATGCAAGCTTCAAAAAAAGCAAACGAACCAATTCGAGCAGCAGGCTGAAATTCGGCTCCACCGCACCACACAACTTTTGCTCCATCTAAAACACCTGCAATGGCCAAAGCTCTGACAGATGCGTGATGGTGAGGAAAGTGATTACTTCAACGAGGAAGTGGATGAGCGCTATGAGCTGCAGCTGCAGCAGCAAAGCAGGCAACAGGCCTTCACCAAAAATCGCCAATGAAAGACGGAAAAGAGAAAATACAGAAAAAAAAAAGAACTGAATAAAAGACCTACTGGAAAAGGAAGGGAAAACGAACGGAGAGAGCAATGTCTCGGCCCAGTAAAGTAACGACGGCTGTTGGAATTAAGGCAGCACGAGCGACGAGAGGAAGGGCCGGGGAGGTGAACTCTCCGCAACTAAATCCTTCAAACCGCCAGCGCTGCGCGAATCTTCGAACGGTGCTGCATACGATCGCTGCAATGCGGCCATATCAGATCACGGGCTGTTCCGATATCCTCTCAACCTTTGGCAATTCAGCTTCTTTCCTCACCTGCTCCCCTCCTTCTCTCTTCCTCGCCCTCTCCCCTTTCACTGAGAACTTGTAAAAGACCGGGCTTGCCGAACCCGAAGCTAGCAACTACTAACTCTGCTCGGTCCGGTTGCACAAAAAGTTGCGGTAGGCCCCACGGATTACAGGCGGATTTAAATTAAAATCTCAGTTTTAAATTGAATGGCACAGTAAGCAACTGGGCAGACCGACGATACAGGCTCGCAAGGGGTCGTAACAGAGGGGGTAGTGCTAGAATAATGCCTGGGAAAGAGATGAGATTTTGCTTGGATAAAGAAACTGGAGACAGGGGCTGGGTATGATGAGTGATTCGGATTCGCGATGCCAAGCAAGAATTCTTAGATCTGAGCGAAAACTGGCAAACCCACACATACTAGCTCCCAAACAGCGCCTAACTGCGTGCCTGGCATCATAAACTCATAATGAGAGGAACTGAGTTCAAATTAGATGACAGAAAACACGACGATGCCACCGGCAACACAGGAAGGACGAAAGCATCAACGACAACCACACAACAGCGAAAGGCTTGTTAAACCCGAGGTGGGCAATTGCAAAACCCCTGCTCGGCTCGGTCGGTGTTCGAAAAGCGTCTAACATCACTGCCAACACTATTTCACAGCATCGCCCATCGGAACTATTTGGCAATTTGCCAGAGACGCTGGGCAGCGCTATTCGGTACTTAGCGACTGGATCGCGTAATGAGTAAGGGATTGAACGTGGTTGGAGTGTTGGTTAGTAAGTGCCCAAACAGCTCAGAGGACACGATTGGGGCCAGAGTAGTGGTGAGGGATGGAGGTGCTGGTCAGGAGTTCTGGACGGTAAATGGTGACAGTGGTCGGGGGTGTTGGGTGATGGGTACCCCTGTGGGGACAAGGATCGGGGACAGGATGAAGTAAGGGAAAAAGGCGCTAATCAGGAGTTCGAGACAAGAACTGCAGACAGCAATAAAGAGGAAAATGAACTAACACAGCAGTACAAAGAAAATTAAATTAAAACAAACCTGAACTTGTGAATAAAAGGAAAAAGCGAAACCAAAGAATTGAAGGCTGCAAACAGAAGCAAAAAAAGAAAACCAAAAGCAGTGGGAATTGTCTTACAAAAATTCGTCTTCAGTAAGCTGTTTCCGCATTTATGAAGCTTATGCTTAGGTGAAGCTGAGGGCAAATAAGTTCGATTGCATTTACACAACAATTACACAAAGCTTCACTGGCTTCCGGCAGCCTGCAGCTATACACAACAGTTCTACCTTTATTTTTATGCGTTTTGTACTGCTGTTACACAGCACAAGGGGTTGTATGTGTGTGTGTGTGTGTGTGTGTGTGTGTGTGTGTGTGTGTG